CCACTCGCGTGCGTCTAGTCCTCATTTAGCTCGAAGATAGGCCTCGCCTTGGCTTTGCAGCTGTTGGGAGGATTGACCGGCCGGTATGGGTCGGAGACCCCAACCGTCTCCGATGGTGTGATTCCACGTGATGCACGTACAGGTTGATGAAGTTGGGAAGCGTGACGTGCGCGAGCTGTCAGTTGTTGAGAAATCCCCTCTTGGAGACGAGTCAGTTCTTCGGTAGAGAAATCCGCCGCATCCGAGGATCTAAGGATCGCTTCTAACATCTGCGGTGACATACTCAATGCCGCGGATTGCGTGGCCACGCTGTGATGATCAGGAAAAGACATAGAATCAAAGTCATGACCAGCTTGAGGGGCAGCGACTCTCCGATAGCCCTCTGTGGCCCAGTCTCTTTTGTACCACATGGTGACATTGAGCTGCTCACCGTCTTGGTCCGGGTTGGGAGCATAGAACTCCCTCCACTCTCTATACGTGTGCGGTGGAGGTGGAGCATCATGTTCTTCATGCGGAGTCCATGATCCCGGATGAAAGATCTTGACCCACTGGGCATCTGGTTGTTGAGGATCCGGACACCATTCCAGCCACGGCATGACAACGCAAACCCGGAAAGACAAATTGATAGGTGTACGGCTGCAGACAACAATTACAGAAAGAGACACAACTACCACAGTGCAAGAAATCACTTTTGCAGCAATGCACGGCTCCGGTATCGAAGTCACTCTCCCGAATCGAATTGAACTGAACAGACTCCCCAGGAAGGCGAGGAGGAGCATCAGCCACCATCCGACTTGGAGGATGCCGATGAAGAGGTCAATCCAGCGTACATGAGGTCCGGTGCGCCCGAAGCGAAAACTGGCCGCGCAATGCTAGGGTGTGGGCGACCCAGCCGTTGGTATCCCCTGGTGACCCAGTCTCTATAATGCCAAGTATAGAAGGATGCATAAGATACCGGCTGCAAAACAGCACCTGTATTGGTGCCGCCTGTGCTATCCCTCGGCCAATACACTTCGAAGTGGTAGACCTTGCGCCATTCCCGATAGGTGGTTGAGTCATCCGGGGCTGGTCCCAAGGTGTTCTCGGCGACTGGATGCCACGGACCCGGTACATAGATCCGAATCCATTCTACACTCGTATTCGCGGGCCCATTGACGATGTCGTAGTCAAAGTAGCGAGGCAGGACCCATCGTGCTGCGCTATACATTGTACAATTGAACATATCAACCAGGCAAGCCGCTCAGAGTCAAATGAAAGCGGCGAACAACTGGAGACGGAACGCACAACACCAAGCAAGACAACCCAACATGGAATCGCATACAAAGCAAGCACAACCGCGTCATTTTATCCGACATGTTGCTCAAGTATCACTCCGAATCGTTCCAAGGATCATAGAATGGTGGTGGTGACGGCTCTCGCCACGCCCCATCCGGAACCGATGAGTCCACCAAGGAATTGGCGTCTGCATTCACGAGCATCGCGAGTCCAATGGCTGGTAAAGGAGCTCCAAGTCGTTGATACCCTCGTGTTTGCCAGTCTCGGTACTCCCACACGTGGTAGGACACATACGAACTGGGCGTGACAATGGGATCCGTTGTTGTTCCTCCGGTGCTGTCTTCGGACCAGTACACTTGGAAGCGATATGACCTGCGCCACTCCCGATACGTGGAAGCGTAGACCGGGGCGAGCACTGGAGCATCATCGGGAACGGGTCGCCACGTGCCCGGTGAGTAAATTCGAATCCATTCCACTCCTCTGTCGATCTGGTACTCGAAATATTGAGGGTTCATAGCGGCAAGACAGGCTATCGCGCGGCCGCTAGAAGCAATCGAAAATCTGCGGCGAAGACACACATGCAATGACAACCGCGCGCAGCTGAAGTGATGCAAGGCAACTTGTCAAACTCAAGGTGAGACACAGCAGCGAGGTTTGTAATATACGACGCCTAAGCTTCACCGCCGTTGATGCCGCGCACACCTGCAATGATAATGTCCTGGTCGTCTACGATCACAAGGGGAAAGACATTTCCGCCCATGGCGCAGGAAGGCATGACAGTAATGCTTGCAATTTGCCGATGGGGACAGCGATGGACGGTCAGCACGTTTGGAGGGGAACACGGTAAAGGGCCGCCGAGATCTCCGCGGTGCAGAAGCGGATGCTGTCCGAGATCGTTTGGATGAACGCCCTGGACTGCGTAGCTCTTCATCACGGGAATGGTCAGTGCTGTAGATCGAGCGGCGTGTGCGCTGCGATTTCGATGTGGCAGGGCAGGATTGTCCGCGAGGAGCTGAGATCGAGGGGCTCCGTACTGAGGGCATAAACTGTGGGTGTAGAATCACCGGTGGTGGTGGCGGTGGAGGAGGCGGAGGTGGAAGAAGCAGTGGGAAACTTGGTGGGGGCGGAGGTGACGTAGTCTGCCGAATGGGTCTGTCAAGCAGGGCACCAGGTCCGTGAAACTGTAACCACGTCGGCTGCGCTCCATGGGTCCAAGTGATGTACG